TTTGCTTTCATGCCCGAACTCCACATCAGGTAAAAACCAACAAGTGATGGCCGTCTTCCCCACACAGCACAGGCGAGGCCATCTTTCTCCAAACCAGAAGTTCCAAACCAAGGCTTAACCACTATGCAAAGCAGTGTGGAGGTTCTCAGAGAGACAGAACACATCACACACACACACACACACACACACACACACACACACACAGAAATTCTGATCAAATCAGCCATTCCATTTCCAGGTACCTTCTTTTGGGGAGGCTGGCTCAGTTCACCCCGAGCACAAGGCTGGCATGGCATGTACTGCCAAGGATTGAACCTTGGTGTCCTGCGCCTGCCTAAGCTTGCATAACCAGGCGCTCTAGGCCACAAGCTATCTCACCGGCCCTCTTGGTATTGTCTTAAACAGCTAAGGACGTCCTCTTACACTGATCTATGCAAAACTATGTTTCTAGCAGCACAACTCATAAGAGCTAAATCTTCAAAGGAGAGAGAGCCAGAGAAACAGTGAGATCACGACAGCAAGAGAGCGAGAGAGAGAGGAAGAGAGTGACAAAATTAGAAAGGTCAGATGCGAGGTAAAAGTGCTGTGGAATAGTTTTATTTGAAAAACAATGTACGTTTGGCTGTTGGTTTGGCCATGCCCAGGACATTTCTTTCTTATCTCGCTCTCTCTTTCCAGTATTGGGAATCAAACTCAGGACCTTGAGTTTTGGGGGGGACTTCTACAGGTCCACACAGGGAGCCCCGTGTGGGAGTCCCAGCCTGGCACCTGTGCAGGCACCTGGTGATGCCTGCTTCATGCGCTCACCAGTGAGTCAGGAGGCTGGCCTCACCTGCCCAGGGCACAGCTGGGCACCCATGTCAGGTGTGCGTTGCTCCCCAGAGGGAGATTCTCTGTGGCAGGTGTTCTCCAAGATGTCTGAGGGTCGAGAAAATCTCCCTGGCAGGGCATGAGGCCTCTGGCTGGGCCTCAATCCGTCCCTCAGGCACAGCACAGCCTGGTGGACTTGTGGCAGAACCAGTGACCCGTACTCACACCCAAGACCCTTTGCAGGCCCAGTCTCCCTGCTCTGCTCCCCTGATGGGTCTCCAGGGAGATGGGTCACACCACAACTTCAGCACAGGCCACTTGAAGAGAAAGGGACAGTGGAGAGGCCTAGGGGAAGACACTGAACCAACGGGGAGCCAGCAGGGTGACCAGAGGGTCAGCAGGACACCAGGTGCAGCAGCAGACACACACATGAAATGAGGAGGCCTGTTGTGTCACAGCGTGTAGACACACTCACTACTTTCACAACCCAGTCCTTGTAGAAAGCGACATAGGTATAGACTCCGGGAATTCCTTTGCGGGCACAGCCGACGCCCCAGCTCACAATGCCCACCTGCACCCATGTGTTGTTGAATTCACACACAAGAGGGCCGCCAGAGTCTCCCTGTGGAAAGAGAAATGAACTAATCCTAGGGACAGAATTGGTGCCAGAGCAGCCTGCAGGGCAGGACAATGGGCACACATGGGGCTTCCCTGGACTCCTGCTACCGTGGGGTCCATGACAATGACATGGCCAAGTACAACCTTATTAACACATAGAAATGTGTCTCCCCACTCAAAACGTCTGTTTTCCAAACAAGTAAACATGAACCAAGATAATGGACCCAAAGTAGTTGGATCACAAGGAATAAAGTGCTCACCCAAGGCACTGCCTGTGACAAAGAGGGGGCCCTAAACAGGTACCCCACCTCCTCTCCACTGATACCTACTGCCTCTCTGCAGGAGGCATCTGCTGGACCAATGCAGTGCACCTGGCCACCTCTGGGGGTCACCGTTCCAAGCCAAACAGAACAGCCATGGCCATTTATCACCGCTACACTGAACCTTCAATAGAGGCAAGTGCAGAGGATAAGGCTAAGCCAGGCCTTCCTGCCTGGATGCAAGTACCTTTGAGGGGAAACTGCCCAGCCCTTTACCAAGGGGCCCCTGGACTGACCTTGCAGGGACCCCTTCTTTCGGCATTAGCACAAAGGCCCCCTTCACTGACCACATCAAACCTCGCCTGCAGAATGGCCTTGAGGTTGAGATTACATGTCTCACGGTCAACTATGTCCACAGTAGTCTCCTGAAGGTCCATTGGTGGGGACTCAGATCCTCCTATAAGGAGAAAGTAGGGATGGACGGTTTTGTGTGAGTTCCACAGGACTACAGTGTCTGCGATCTGCTTGGGTCTCAATACAGTATCTCCCACACAGGGATCCTCCTGCCACTGGCTCCTGTCCCCACCTGACCCTGGAGGGAGTGAGTCCCAAGCTTGACCTG